CTTCAGTCCAGCCCCTGCTTGCCAAAGAGCTTAGTGGGATGCATATACCTCTTGTCTAGAGTCTTGCCTAACTCTTTCCCAGGTCACAAAGAAGGCCATGGCTTTGTGAAATATCAGCTGAGGCTATGTGTCCACCTGTCACAAATAAAAGAGAACCAAATATCAGGAACCTGGGCAAAGCAGTGAGCCGAGTGACAAAATAGACATGCCGTGGATCGATCTTCATTGTGTTCTGGTCGAAGTATACATGTGCACCTGTTCCTGATGCTCACTGTCTTTATCTAGGAAAAAAGAAGAATTGTCACCTGGTGTTCCCATGAGCCTATGCTACATGTCACCCCTCCTCTCCTGACACAGCTGCTTTTGGTTAACAGAACATATAAATTCTGTATTTTCTCCCTTTAGAAGGCTTTGGGACTTTTCGAGATGTAAATGCAGGATATTAATTACTCAAACAATTGCTTCGTGAAATTTTCTTGGCATATAGAGAGCAATCTGGTCAGAAAGGTGTGTGTTGGAACCAGTTAACATGCAGCACCCTGCAGGAATAGGTAACCCTGCAGACAAGGAACCAAACATGTATGGTGCATATATACAAAGCAATTAACCCTGTAAAAAAAAGGTGCAGCAAAGAGCAGAGCCTTTCCAGTGATGCTGCTGTTCGTACAGAATTTGTAACACACAGCAATCTTCTTTTTTTTTTTTTTCTGACAGCTTCAAGAGCATACTTAATACTAATTTTAGCTTATCCTCTGAGGCTGTCGTTTCTGGGGTCTGGGTACAATGAAGGCCTTATTCATAAAAGCTACAAACACTGTAAAAAGAAGAGAGGGGGAAAAGCGTCCCACCCTAAAATGCTTCTGATCTCCAAACAGCTATAATTTTGGCTTGCTCTGAGAACAAGCTGAGGTAGTGTTCCTTTTAACAGCCAGGAAAGGGCTGTCTGTTTATATTCAGGACCTTGTAGATTTGAGCAGTATATGCAGGTGGCACATTAAAATGTGTGGATGATTTCTTACCGGGATACGGTTGTGTTTTTACTGGACTGCTTTTAATTTTGTGCAAGGACTAAGTAAGTAATCATTGAGATTTTTCTTGTAACATTTTCTGGAGTTAAATTTGTAGCTTCTGGCATGTTGTTTGCGGATTAAATCAGTGAGTGCTCCCCTCCCATGCATCTCTCTACTCTTTTCAGTCCAGAGCTCATATATTATGAGTGTCCTGGGACTGGCAGCTCTTGCCATTATGACCCTTTGCAGACATAAGCCTTAGTGACCATGGGTTCCATGTAACCATACTAGAGAGGTACATGTAGATATATAGCATCTTCCCACAGTCAGGGTCTTATTCAGGCACTTTCATAAATGCCTTCAGCTTTCAGAAAATCTCTTCTGCAGATGGGCCCAGAGCCAGCCTGTAGAAGACCATCTTATAAAATAACAGACAAATAAAGCTGAAAGGAAGCTCTGGAGGTCATCTAGTCCAACCTCCTGCCTGAGGCAGGGTCATCACTATCAAAACCATTGCATGCAAATCCTTGTCTAACCTGTTACTAAAATTACGCAGTCTATCCTGTCACACAACCACAAAGCATAGCACACTAACCTGCCACAGGTAGAGCAGAGGGACAACAGTAACCAGTAGGGCTGTGCGAAGCTACAGTCGCCGATTCAATTTGGAGGAGATTCAGCCCAATTCAGCGACTGAATCTCCAAATCTGAATTGAATCAGGAGACCCATTAAAAAGTCCAAATTGAATCTGAAGCCTCTGAATCGATTTGGAAAAGATTTGGAGACATTCGGAGATTTGGATCAGCTGAGGAAAGGCAGACACAGCCGGGCAGTTAGGGTTCTTCCATGGCTCCTCCAGCTGTCCTTGCCTCCTCCCAGGCAGGGGGAGCTGCAAGAGAAGCCCCCATGGCTGTCCTGCCCAGCCCCATCCAGGCCCAGCCCCACACTCACCGGCTGCAGCAGCAATTGGGGCCTCTAAGGCTTCATGGCAGTGCCCCCTCATGCAGCACAGGGCAGTGGGGGGCAACAGGGATTGCCCCCCCCCAACCTGGCACCCGTGCAGCAGCTAGCTGTCGCATGGCATGAGTGCAGCGCAGCTTGGCAGGGCGCCGTTCACTGTCTGGGAGCTGGGGTGGCTCCGGCAGTCAGCCGGAGCCCAGCACCGCTTAGCCCCAGAGGCCCCAGCTCCCAGACAGTACGCAGCTCCCAGACACTGCACAGTGCCCTGCCGAGCTGTGCTGCACCTGTGCCATGGGGCAGCTGCCACACAAGTGCCAGGCAGGGGTGGGGAGAGGGACAGCCTTGCTGCCCACTTCCCTACACTGCACAGGGGGCCTCTATCACAAGCCCTCAGAGGTCCTGATCCCCTTTGCTGCAGTCAGTGAGTGCAGGGCTTTTTTTTTTTTTTTTGAAAGTGCCAAGAGGCTGGGCCAGGCGGAGGATGGGGCCGGGCAGTGCTGACTCTCTGAATCACCTAATCGAATCACTTTCATCCAAATCAGCCAAATCTGAATCAAATACTTCCCTATTCACACAGGCCTAGTAACCAGTGTCCTGTTGCTTCAAGGGTTGTTAAAATATACTTAAGAGATCCAATGAAGAGGGCAATACCCTTCACAGCAGAGGAAGGCAAAAACCCCAAAAGTCCATACCAATCTGACCATAGGGAAAAATTCTTTCCTGACTGCAAATGTGGTGACTGATCTGACTCTGAGTGAAAGAGCAAGACCATCTAGCCAGGAAAATCTGGGTTTTAGTTTTAGCAGGAGCATTGGTACATCCCAGTCAAAATCTCCAGCCTTGGCTGCTGCCTCACCCAGTACTTCTAAGGAAGGCAAAAAAAAAGAAATACTGAAAAAAACACAAAACCCTGACATGTGTAGGAAAAGGAGGGGGAAAAAATAATTTCCAGCTCTATATGATGATCAGCAAAGCTTAGAAGCATGGGAAATATCCAGGGTAGAGGATAGGCGTAGCTAGTCCTAGGTCTTCCCTGACCAAGGCTTACGGAACGTCCTCCATGATGGAGATTCCACAACTTCCCTGGGCAGTCCACTTCTATTCTACTGCCTCAATTTTCTAACAGTGAAGAAGTGTTTCCTGATATTCAGTGTAAATAGAGTGACTGTATGTCTTGATTTAGCCAGGACAGTCCCAGATTTCAGAGGCTGGTACTTGCCAGCTGCTGAGAATTAAAATGGGTGTCCCAGAAATGCAGGGGCATGGTGCACAGTCTAGCCAAGAGTTGGAGCAGAGCACTTTGCAGGCAGACAAGCAGGGACTGCTTACAACCCTGCCCCTGCCAACATACAACCCTGCCCCTGCCAACTTGTGAGAGTGTGAGGGAGAGGGGAGAAAGCAGTGTCCTGAATTTCCAAGATTTCTAAATGGTCAGCCTAAATCTAAGCCTACTTTACTGCAACTTCAAGCCATTGGTCCATGTTCTGCTCTCACCAGCATGAGAGAAAACATGTTCTCTGTCTTTTTTATGGCATCCCTTCAGATATTTGAAGACTACTATCATGTCCTCTCTTAAGTGCCTTGCCCATAATCTGAATATGCCTATTTCCATCAACCTCTCTTCATATGTCTTGATTTCTAAACCCTTATTATTTTGTCACCCACCTCTGAAACCTGGAGTCTTGTTTGTTAAATATAACATAGGTCAAGAATGTGCTGTTGTAAACCCCTCCCTCACATGAGATCCCATTGACATGAGTGGGCTCACTTGAGCGTAATGCAGGATCCAGACCATAGTGAAGGCATGTTCATCATAGGCATTTATAGTGGTAGATACTACTTCACCTAACCATGTAGCTGCCATTTTTGGCATCTCTACAGAGTTTGTGATCCTATTCTAGGTGCAGTGCATGCATATGTGCGCACATAGCTACTGAGCATGTGCAGCTGAGACTTTAGACAAACCTCTCCAGGGTGGCCTAGAACTGTTCTTCAAAGACACCGTTGTTCATCACGGTAGATGCACAATGTTTTTTAAATGACATGTGCCACTTCCTTAAGCCAATGCTAACCTCTTGGTCAGAGAAGGTCCCATATTGTTATGAGCATATATTTTGTGATGAAGGCTGCCTTACCTCATGTCTTCTTGAATCTAGTCCTACCTTCCTAAGTAGCAATTTCTCCTGCCATCCTCATTGGCTCAGCCAATAGTTGCTAAATTTTCTACAGACTACCGATAATACCTCTTTCACAGGGAATTTGTGAGGTTTACTTAGTATTTGTGAATCTCTAAATGGCAGCATATAATTAATAGGGGTGTGCAAAACAGGCCCTATTTGATTCGGATTCAGCCTGAATTGGGGACAGTGATTCAATTTGTTGATTTGGATCACTGTCCCCAATTCTATTCAGCCGAATCCAAATCTGAAGATTCAATGCTGATTCAGAGAATCAGCAATTCAGACATAGACACAGCTTTAAATGTTTTTTCTACATACCTCAAGGTATTAGCATGCTCCCCAGTGGACTGGAAGTGCTTCTGGTCCACTTCCAGGTCTGCTGCCAAGCTCGCAGCCCCCCCCGCCCCCCGTTCTCCTGTGGGACACTCCATGCACCCCAGAACTGCAGCATTCACGAGCTGCCTGTTACCTAGAGGTATGTAGAAAAAACATTTAAACCTGTGTCTGTGTCCGAATCGCTGAATCTTTCCAAATCTCTCTGAATTGATTTGGAGGGTTCCAATTCGATTCGGAGAGATTAAAGGGTCCTCTGATTCAATTCAGATTCAGAGATTCAGCCACTGACTTGGGTCAGATCTCTTCTGAATCAAATCAGGGACCAAAGCTTCACACAGTCCTAATAATTAATACTATTCTTTGCTCTGAACTGTTAGGTACAACCAAAGCCCAGAGGTTTGCCCTGTGGATTTGACTGAAGGGTGGGCACCTTTGTTATGAATGGGATCAGAACTACAAAGAGACCTGTTTGACTGAATTGAAGAACAAGGCATAGGGAAAGAAAAAGATTTTGAAGTGGGGTAGAAAGGAGACATAAGGTTGGAAGAAGGAAAATTAATCACATTTCTAATGCAAAGGTTTGCATCCATCTGTCTGTTGCATTACCAGGACAAGGATTTGGGGGATAAGAATGGGGTTCAGATTCCACTAGCTCTAAAATAGTTTAGTGCCTAGCTGAGTATTTTGCTGTGGTGACCCAAGGACCTATTTTTAGCAGCCTTTCCAAAGTTGCCAACTCATATTGCACTGAGCAGCTCAGCAAGTTTGTGTACAAACCTCTCCCAGGGATTTGGAAAGTTAAAATGTATATTAGTGCAGAAAACATTCCAAAGGATTATTTTCTTCTAAATTTATCAGCTCTTTTACATGAATTTTCTGGCTGTGCACAGTATATCAGACTGCATCCTGTGTTTCTGTGAGATTTATAAGTCCAACACTTAGAACTGAGTTGGAGGAGCAATATTTCACTTAGACAGCGGAACATCTGCTTGCACGGAGGGGGTCTTCTTTTATTTGGTCTGATTCTAACTACTACAGCTAAACTAATGATATTATAATGGTGATTCATCATAATACTAAAACACACAGTAACTTCAGAATGTTCTTTGGCATTTTTAGTCTCTGTCTTTTTGGCCTTTAGCCATTGAAGATCCACTGGAACCTAAACTAGCAAAAATCAGCAAATCACTTTGCTAAGAAGGCTCATCAGGGAAAAATAAGATACAGTTTCAGCTGTACATACCTCTGTGGTCTTATCATCTCATTGCTTCTTGAGCTTTTGTAAGTTGTTACAAGCCAATAAAGGTGCATGTTAATGTATATTCAGACCTTCAAATTGGAGAGCCATATATTGGGGCATGGAGTGGTGGCTACAGCCACCATGTGGAAGCTTCTTTGCCCCTCTTCCTGGGACCATGGGGGTGGGG